AATAAAATAAAATAAAATAAAATAAAATAAAATAAAATAAAATAAAATAAAAGAAAATAAAATAAAATAAAATAAAATAAAATAAAATAAAATTAAATAAAAGAAAATAAAATATAATAAAATAAAATAAAATAAAATAAAATAAAAATTTGTCCAACAACAGAAGAATTCTGGCAAGCGGAAAGCTCTTCTCTCTGAGACCTGCATACCTATTCAGAACTCTCTGATGTTGCCAAAACTCACGAATTAGCAATTGCAATTAATAGATTAAATAATTATTAAATAGAAAACGAAAAAGCAAAGTCGTACTAGGGAGATTTATATTGAATTATTTTTATTATTGCTGGTTTATTTTAAAAAGGAATTAAATCGAATCGGATTCATAGAAGTAATTTATTTAGTAATGGGGTTTCTGTTTCTTGTATGACAAAGTAAGCGCAGGTACAACTACGAGGGGACTTAAGGAATTAATCAGTGAATTTATTTGTAGTAGGAAAATATTGAAATGAAATGGAATAGGAATAATAACAAAGGAAAAAGAAGTTATTATCAACGAGAATCAAATAGTACGAGCAGAAAATAATGGAAAGTACTCTAAAATTAATAAGAATAAAAATGTAACGTTTTAATCGTTACAATGCATACGCATCGCAGTTGACATCCCTGGCTCAACAACTACACCTTCTCTTAACCTGTTTCGACTATCTAGCAATTGCAGTATCTATACTGGTGAACCATGTTCTGAAACGTTCTAAAAAGTCCAATCAACGAATATAGAACTATAGCAATATGTACTGACTCCATATCATTTATGCATTCCATAAGAAATTTACATTCTATCATTCACCCAATAGTTCAAGAAATATATAGTATATGTAATGTACTGTATTCCAGGTAATAAAAAAGCCGATCCAGCAGCAAACCAAGCCTTTTCTCTAAACTTCACAAAAGCATTAAAGAATAAACATTGGAAAATAATCAATACCAAGTTAAGTATTCTTGGTTAAGCGAAAGATACAAAAAAAAAATTAAATTTGATGAGGAGATTTTTTAGGGTTATTCGCGCTTCATACCTCACTTTTGTATTACATTTAGATCCATAAATGTGATTTGAAAATAAAACCCAAATATCAGAAAAAAAAAAACATTTATTGACATATTAACAAATATATAACTATGGAGTACACTGAAGCAAAAATTTACACAAATTGCAATATTACTTTGTAAATGTAAAAAAAATCGATTCTTTATCATCTGATCAGATTTGTAAAGCTACTTGATGACAATATTTTCTTATACTCTAAATAATAATAATTATAATTAATTTACAAAAGTTCACAATGAAATAGGACTACTAGTTTCATTGATAAACAAAATTATACTTTTTTTACGAAAACAACTGACTTTATAACCTAGTGAAAAATGTCAATACTTTGATATGGAAACTTCTACATCAAAAATAAAACAAATTTAACTTGCTACTTTCACTGCCAAATATGTCCACCTGCTCTTGCCAGGCAGATTTTCTTAAAACTAGGATTTTGTATTCATCATATTCCATGTCCCAAATACATCTTTTCTTTTGCAATTCATCAATGAACAGTTGGTCGCATCAAAATTTTAATTTCTATTATAGACAGATCAATTTCAAAATAGCTTTTCCTTTTATAATGTTTTATAAGTGTGCGAACTTTTGTAATTTACATAAAAATAAGCATTTTGTCATTCTAAGATAAAAAGGGAGGCAATTATGCAGAATTCTGGAGTAGAGTTAGATAGGAGAATGCTCCTTTCATTATCTAAAAACAAAATAAGTACATGTCAAATGTTTTAAGTTATCAATGTTATGTAATAACTAGTAAGATAAATATTTACTTATTAAATAGTACAGACAACTGCAAGCATTGTAGTTACTTAAGAATTGTTTTCTTAAAAGATTTTTGTTCTTATACGTACAAAAAGGAAACATTTATGCAAAATATACAGGGTGTCCCAGACGAATTTACCCACGCTATATCTCTTAAACGAATAGAGATTTTCGTATGGGACAAAAAGTGATCTATTCTACTTGTAATACACTTTAATATGGCGTAGAAAAAAATCATCCCCTAAATATTCATCCCTTAGTTACAACCCCTAACTTTAATTTTTTAATAGAAGCCTGTATATTTTTTTATAGTTTTGGATGTGGTCTTCTATCGTTTATTCAACAGATTTATTAAAAATAAAATCGGTTTGTAAATAATCAAGAAATCAATTAATTTTTTATTTTTGTTAATTAAGTGTCCCAGACTTAATTTATCCACGCTACATTTATTAACAAAATAGAGATTTTTTAAAGGGTCAAAAACTGGTCTATTCAATTTGTAATACGCTTTAATATAGCGAAGAAAAAAATCATCCCCTAAATATTCATCCCTTAGTTACAACCCCTAACTTTAATTTTTTTAATAGCACCCTGTATATTTTTTTATAGTTTTGAATGTGTTCTTCTATCGTCTATTCAACAGATTTATTAAAAATAAAATCGGTTTGTAAATAATCAAGAAATCAATTAATTTTTTATTTTTGTTAATTAAGTGTCCCAGACTAATTTATCCACGCTATATTTATTAACAAAATAGAGATTTTTTAAAGGGTCAAAAACTGGTCTATTCCATTTGTAATACACTTTAATATAGCGAAGAAAAAATCATCCCCCAAACATTCATCCCTTAGTTACAACCCCTAACTTAATTTTTTTAATAACATCCTGTATATTTTTTTATAGTTTTGGATATGGTCTTCTATCTATTCAACAGATTTATTAAAAATAAAATCGATTTAAAAAAATAAATTAATTACCAAAAATAAAAAATAAACTGATTTCTTGATTATGTACAAACCGTGTTACATATCAGTAGCGCACCTAGAATTTTCGTCTGGGGAGGTTTGGTTGGGCGACGAAATTTTTTTATGATGCTACCTCCATTCTGAGTCCTTAAAATTTGTCAGTAAGAGTGTTGGAATAGGGTCCAGGGGAGGGGGGTTTAACCCTCAAAACCCCACTCTGGGTGCGCCATTGTCACATATTGATATTAATTTTTAAAATGGAAAAATTTCTTTTACTTAAAACCAACAAGATGAATCCAGGTAAATACAATATATTATTAATTTTGAATTTTTGCTTTACCAAAAAAATTATGTCAAAAAAAGTATATATTAGCAAACGTCAAATTCGGTCCTGACAAATTTGGCAACGCCTTGTTGTTTTGACGCTCTATATCTTCTCGTTGTACAGAGGATAAATCTATTTCTTCGCAAAATTTATCAACAAGAACGTCAGCTACATTAGTACGTTTCCGAAAAATATTGTTTTTTTAATTATTGTTTTGTTCCGGAGTGGAATAATAAACAAAAGCATCTAATTTTAATTGTATATAAGTAATTTTTAAATGAAACTATATATTTATTATTTGCTAAATTCTATTACTACTATTACCAGTATTTCCATAAAACACGCTTTCATGATTCTTGTTTTATCGGTGTTGTAAACAAAAACTGTGGACTTAATGTATCCTGCCTACGAATTACTATTGTCACGATTATTGGTGTGAAATAACTTGTTTTCGATTGTACTGATAACAGTAACCAATACAAAAGTTTGTAGACAGTGCTTGTAACAGAAAACCTCCTTCTTTGCAGATAACTAATTAAAATATTAATACGATATAGTGGGTGGATCAGATTTAGAAACACATTTGTAGTACCGCCTATATGATTTAATTTGAATTGGTGTGGTTTTTAAATTTTGAGATCTTTTATATTTATTCTAGGTTGTATATATATGTATTCTTCTTCTTCTTCTTTATAAGCAATACTGCTTGTTCATTGGCGGGTTATTACCTCTATATAAGGTTGTTACAATTATATAATACTATTATACACCTTTTATACTATTTTCTATCTATATTTTGATTTCTTTGTTTTCCATTCTGTATCCTCTTCCTTTGATAACGCTTTTGATGATTCCATCCATGATCAAATTGGGATCAAAAGAGCATGGGGCTCAGTTAATCTCCTTGTCTTATTCCGATGCCTATTTTTATAGGTCTGTAAGTTGTCCATCTATTCTAACTTCCATTTTATTATTTTGGTATATGTTTTTGATAGTTTTTATAATCTATTATACAGAAGATGGATTACATGACAGAGTCTTACTCTGTCAAACGCTTTGTTTAGGTCAATCAAACACAGAAATGCTGGTCTATTATACTCTAGTGATTTCTCAGTAATTTGCTTTATAATGAATTTTACCTCTGCACACGATCTTCATCAATGCATAATTATAACAGCAAATTTACTAAGATGTAAATTGGAGCTGGAAGGTCAGATAATAGAACAAGTGAACAAAAGTTTAAATATCTAGATGATGTGATAACTATCTATGGAAAGCTCGAAACAGAAGTGAAAGGTAAATGCAAACATTGAGGAACGCGTAGATCTAGTTTGGCTTGGTTATAAGTCTGGTGGGATTGCTTTTTTATTTTTTTGGTTTTTGAAAGTGCCTACCAAAGCCATTTTTCGGCGAAGCTTATGAGACAAAGGATAACTGGTACATTAAATATTTGTGGTTAAAATTGTCTTAAAATTTTTAAAGGGATTAAGTGATCTAAGTACAATATCTGTTGCAGTGTTTGGTAGATTAAATCTTCCTTCAGGTTACTTGTCACAGTAAATTTCTAAATTTGAGACATAAAACATTTAATCACACAAGGTAAGTATTTTTGTCCCATATTTATTAGGCAAAGATTATACAATACCACGACCATGGTACAGAAGATTTCGTCAATTGTAAACCTGAGCAGAATATTTTTCAACAGTTGTCAGTGAATTTATCTATAATTTCTCGCACTGCCGTTAATTTATCTATCTGCTTAAATATTAATAAAAAAAATAATAAGATTGATGTATTTCAGATATTGTTTTAAAAAAGGCATGGAGTACATGTCAAAACTTACCATAAGCAAAAGAGTGAAATTAAGTTGTCCCAATGGTAACGCTTGAAGCTGAAGAGTAATGTTGCTACTCATCAAGATAAATATAATATCTTTCCTTGTATTAATATCCGTCATATACCATAACGAGTGGTAGACTGCGTCAGTTATATCTTGGTTCTAAAAAATTAATTCGATTAGAAATAATTAGTTTCTTCTTCTTCTTCTCTCCCAACTCCTTCCATCGGTCTCTATCCTGAGCAACATATTTCCAATTTGTTCCGTCTATTCTTTTAATGTCATCAACCCATCCCATCTGTAGTTTTCCTCTTGGTCGTTTACTTTCGTAAGGTCTCCAATGTTGTATTGTAGTATTCCACGTTGGTCTTTCTGTCTAGCAGTGTGGCCCGCGAAGCTCCATTTAAGTTTTGCAATTTTTATTGTTATGTCCTCGACTTTTGTTTTGGATCTTACCCAGTCGTTCTTCTTTTTATCTGACAGTCGTATACCTAACATTGCTCTTTCCATTGTCCTTTCTGTTGTGGCTAGTTTATTCATGTTTGCCTTGGTTAGGGTTCAGGTTTGACGTCCATATGTCATGATAGGAAGGATGCATTGTTTGAACACTTTGCTCCTCAAGTATTGGGGTATTTTGCGGTTCTTAAGTATCTAACTAAGTTTTCCAAATCCTGCCCATACTAGTCTTGCTCTTCTAATAATTTCCACACTGGTTCTCTTTGTCAAGTCTCAGGATTTGGCTTAGGTAGATATATTCCTGGATTTGTTCTATCTCACTGCCGTTTATAGTTATATGTCTGGGGTCATCTTTGTTTGTCATTATTTTTGTTTTTTTCTTATTCATTTTTAGGCCGACGTATTGGGAGCTGGCTGCTAGTTCCCTCAACATAATTTGCAGTTCCTCGAATGTGCTCGCTATAATCACTATATCGTCAGCGAATCTGAGGTGGTTTAACTTGTTGCCATTAACGTTAATGCCATAGGTTTACCAATTTGTAGTTTTGAAGACGTCTTCTAGGGCTAGGTTGAAAAGCTTTGGCGATATTACGTCTCCTTGTCTCACTCCTCTCTTATTGGAGATATATATATATATATATATATATCTCATAATTAGTTTAATATTTAAATATGATGTAAATCAGCATAAAATCTAAAAGTATTATTGATTACTGCAGATCACAAATTAAGAAATCACCATGGGAAAATTTTCAGTAGTTCATCATAATAAAAAAATGAGAAAGAAGTTACTCATAATACATATGTAGAACTATACTCGGTTCACAATTTGTTGATAGCTCACTACAAGTTTAATCGGAATTGGAGAACTGAAATACAGAGAGGATAGGTAATACGATATAATAGTAAAAACCAACCTGAAACTGACGGTTTAAGATGTTTTCGACTAACCCACCTTGTATCTGCAGTAATACAATAGAGCGGTCAACCTTTTAATCCGATTATAAAGGTTTTTTGGCCGACCAGTGTCGTAGAGTATATGATTGAAACATTGATTTGAACTAAATAAATATATTTTTTAAATTGTATTTTTGTTTTAATAAAACTTCTTTATTTTATTCAAAAATAAAAAGTGTCTTGCCATCTGTAAAAGATACATTTATTTAATTAAGGGGAAAGGCGCCAAATGTCGCCTGGCAAAATTTTCAATGTGTTTTAAATGTATCTATTATTTTCGAATCCGGAGAAAACTAATAAATATTTTTGAAAAATTTAAACGCAGAATGTAAGATTACATTATTACTGAAAACTTCTACAATATTTATTTTAATATGTTATGTAACACTGGTGAAAATAAAAGAGAAAATATAGTATAATTTTTAATTGAAAATATTGCATGCAAAAGAAACTTTTTATTTATTCTGCCTTTAAATTTTTCAAAAATGCTTTTTAGTTTTCTCAGGATTTGAAAAAAATGGATACATTTAAAATACATTGAACATTTTGACAGTTGACATTTTGCGCCTTTTCCCTTTAATACCTTACGATTACAACTACTATTACTTACCTTATAGAATTACGATTAGAAAACTATTCAAATTCGAAATAAATAGGATCATCTTCGGAATCCGAGTCGTCTTGAGGGTTAATAATTAGCGGTTGTGTCTCTACGGTCGCATCAATTATGTTATTAAGATCCCACATTTTTTGGTCTTCTTCTATTACATGTTTTACTGCATCTTTCCAGTTTTGTTCTGTAATGTATTGTAATCATTTGTTTAACCATTTACGTACAGCTTGTATTTTATATGACGTATTTTTTCTAGGCACATAACTTTGCATTTGTGCCCAAATGAGTTCAATTGGATTTGTTTCGCAGTGGTAGGGTGGAAGTCTAAAAACTGTGATGTTTCGCCTTTCCGCTATTTTGTCAACTACGTATTTCTTGAACTTAGATTTGTGTTGCCGGGCAATTTTTAAAAGTTCTGCTTTTACCATTCCATCTTCGTAAGGCAGATACTTATTTCGCAGCCAGTCAAGAATATCCTGTTTCTTCCACGCAGTCGTTGGAAATATTTCTACTAGTCGTGAATGATAAGGTGCATTATCTAATACTACAATTGAATTTGGTGGTATGTGTTCAATCATCTGCACCAAATACTCCTCGAAAACATCAGCTGTCATCTCCTCGTGATAGTCTTTTGTGCTTTTGGACTGAAATTCCAACAAACCATGCTTAACAAATCATTTTTCATTGACAATGTGAGAAATTATTAATCTACTGCCTTTACCAGAAGATGGGGAGATACCAGTAGTCCATAAAGGCTTGCCTGGAGCTTAATATATTTTTATCTGACCAATTTTTTTTAGAGTATGACCTGAGTTTACCCACGTTTCATCCTGGTAGAAGATTGGCCTTCCTTCAACCCGGAATTTTCGTATGTATCTTAAATAATTTCTTCTCCAACATATTATCTCCTCTCGGTCAATCATTCAAAAGTGATTTTCGGTCTGATTTCTCCCACCGGAAATTTAATTCTTTTAAAACTTGCGACAATTTAGATCGTCCGATATGAGGCAAATCCAGATCGTCTCTAACTTCTTGTAAAATTTTATTTAGGTTTGGTATTTCTTTTTTGAAAAAAAATCCATGAATTTTCCTTCGAATACCATTTTTGGCAAATTCATCAATTTCAATAGGCTTTTTCCCTCTCTTTAAATGTTCGTTTGTGTTTGGGTTAGCTATACCGTGTTTTTTATTCTTTCTGATAGGAACCTATATAATAGTTGACTCCCCTACGCCAGTCATGTTGGCACAACTTTCGACTATGTTGCGAACAGTGCTTGTGGTATTCTGAGAAACCAGAGCATCGGGAACATTCAGGACAATAGTCTTCTCTCTTGGCGAATAGACAGACTTACTGACTGTACGCAACAGTACCGGTGTAAAACTTGATGATGTTGATGATGAAGCCATCACAAACAATCCAACAAAACGAACACGAGCGAAAGGTACGTATATGTTCGTAGGTATATGGAATAAAAATCACTCACGCACTACATATAATTTGCAAAAGAAATATTCGAGACGTTAATTACTGCCGTAGACGCGGAAACACCGACGAGCCGTAAATTACATGCGATCAAAAACGTACTAAACAAAAAAATTGTTTTCGTGCGTAATAACTTTACCCTTTCAAGTTATGTTTCGAATATAAACTAAACAGACGAGGCACGTGGCCAAAGCCGGCATCTATACCCATTATATTATTAAAAATCTGGCGAATTCCATCCTAATTATCTTGCAACGGATAGTACCTTTGGATATGAATACCAGGTTTTCTAGTAAAGTAATTAAACGCGAAGATTAGTATTGAAATATCCAAAGAGATAAGGTATTCTTATTTACAAAATTGTTAATGGTTAAATTATTACTTTTTTTTTAATATAATATAATAACCAACATTAGAAGTGAAAGTTTTAATTGTTTTTTGCTAAATATATTAGTATTAAAACATTATTAATATTAATATTAATTTTAATGAATAAACACCTCAGGAACGCCTATGATGATACAAATTTAACGACCGTTAGATGACTTTAAGGCATATTTCGTGCTATGAACAAATTGTGAACGGATAATAGACAACACAAAGCACGTGTCTATTTTAAAGTTAAATTGAAAACCAATGTCGTTAAAGACACAAAACATTGATAGGTAAAAATATCACATGTTTATTATAGAAACAATTAATAATTACTTGTTTGAAAGGTGTACATACCGGCAAATTGACTATTTACAGACATGCCGTAGTTGCAATAATATGTAAAATTTTAGAGTTTATGGCTTTTTACCCACCTGTTGAGCAATTTTCTCTCCTGCTTGACAAAGAATAAAAATTGATCCACAGAACCCAAAAAAGCCTATAAATCCTCCAGTTATATTCTCCTACAATAATAAAATTAAAAGTTCATAATATATTAACTATTAAAACAAAACTTGGAAACATTAATCATACCAAATCTTTCAGCAGAAAGAAGTAGAAGAAGCTGTAAAGGGTATTAAAGGAATGTACAAGAGGTTTTTAACTATTTGCCACTACTTTCATTTAACTCTATATTTATTTCTGTAGAAACTACTGATACTGAGTTTATAATCCGGGAGAGTTGGTTCACATTTCTTTGGACGCTCACTAAATTTATATTTGTCGACTTAGGGCCGGTTTCACCAACGACAAATAGCAGTCTATTCAATGAATAAAATTATTCGACAAATAAAACTGACATATCTGCGTTTCACCAACGTCAAATAAGAGTTATTCTATGAATAAACTCCAAATAAGTTATTAGTCCAATATCGGCCAAATAAATATTTATTCTTCGAATAAGTTGACAGCTAACCTCACTTTAAACATCAATAATAAAGAAAATTCATTAGTTTAACTTGAAATTATCAACAATGTATTGCAGGTAAACGTAATCATATCAGACAATTTAATTTTGTATACATATATATATATATATATATATATATATATATATATATATATATATATATATATATATATATATATTTATTTTCGAATATTATCTTCATCATCAACATCATCCTCTGATTAGGG